CCCCCACCCCTCCCACTTCCTTCCCCTTTGCCCCTTTTCTTCCTATTTCACATTATCTATTATACCTTTTAGTCCTTATTTACACTTTCAGTTCCCAGTCCAATTTTAATTCTTAACAAAATATAAATGCTATGGTAATAGTTGTCATGCTATCTTTTAAGGGAATAATGACAAGAAAAATTCTGTACATGTTTGGTACACATGAAATTTTTTTCCAGATATTTTTGATATGTGGTTGGTTTAATCAGTGGCCATGGAACCTGTGGATACAAAAGACAGCCTGTTTAGCATGATGAGAATAGCCACTTAAAGTTAAGACATACATTTTAGCATACCTAGGACAGTCAGAGGACAATTAACACCTATTTTATTCTCAAATGTGTCCCAGTTTGGATTATAGCTTATATGGTCACTCTAATATTGCAGTGTCCCTTCCACAGCAGAGGTAGCTGCCATGCACATGTTGATCAAAGGCTGTAGCTTCCTCTCTCCAACAATAGGGTCCAGGTGGACAGATGAGGATCCTATATAGGACAGCCCAGTAAATGGGGCTCTGTGGGTTGGCTAGGTTATTCATTATCTCTGTGACTTTAACAAAATGCCTTTAAAAATCATTTTCTTGCTTCATTTTGTCCAAAACATCTCATTATATAAGCATATGGCAAAAAGAATTTCCTAGCAGTAGGAGAGAGCACAAGATGCCTTCCACTGTACCTCTGCCCTGCTCCCCAGAGGTGGCCATCTTGAGTAGGCTTGGTTATTTCATCTCTTTGCCCCTCATTCTCTCATCTGAAAGATAGGGATTCTAGTACTCATCTCATATACCTGTCCATATTGGTCCTGATGTGTAGCAGATGCTAAAAAATGATTATTAATATGATCACTGCCCTTCTCTTTAGCAGCCTGCCTATTTTTACTCAGCAAGTATACAGAATAGTTTCTCAACATCATTTATAATAAACAGAAATCCCCCAGTAAATATGGAAATGTGAGTTTTCTGAGGGGCCTCTATTCGAATGTTGTTCTTAAGCAAATATTACCAGGCTCAATGAACATAGCAATGGAGACTTCACCCCTCCCAAGAGAAGCTGGTCCTTCCAGGTGGGGTCTGGGGCAGTCTGGGTGTGTGGGAGGCAGTGGGGTGGAACATTTACACTGCTGTTTGTGGTGTACCTGATCAGTCACAAACAGAGGGCTTTAGTTTCCATCTGGCTCCACTCACTGGCTCCAAATGCACATGAAAAAGAAAGAGAGAAAGAGTAATGAGAAAGAAAGACATCTCATCTGTTCCAGGGACAGGGTCAAAAACAAACTTGGTCCCACAATCCCAGGTTCTAATGTGGTCAGATGAAGCAGGAGGTGGAGTTTTCTGAAATTAAAAAGGAACCCAAAGAAGTGTGTTTTGACTATGAAGACTAGTTCTTGTAGATTCTCAGTGGTGACTGCTACTCAACTCTGTAGTCAAAACATCCCACTGAAACTGAGGATTGCTGACAAGAATGTCCTCCCTTTCCTGTTGCCTTATTTAGATAGTCATTTCCAGCTTGTTTTGTCACAGTTAGATGCCAAGGAGATGCCTCCATTATCCTCAATATAATGGAAACTTTTTAGCCTCTTCTAGCCCCTGTCTCTTCTCTCCTAAGCTCCACCCTGACTGTCATACCGGATTTGAAAATCCCTTTCCATTCCCCCCTCTCTTTGTGGTAGTGGGGGTTGAATCCAGGGAGTTGTGCTTGCTAAGCAAGCTTACTACCACTGAGCTATATTCCCAGACCTTTCTCCAAGTTGAGGATCCAGTATTTGAGCTATGTTAACTTTAATGCCCATTTTCTGTTTTTTATTTACTAAGTCTTTTTATGCTCTTTTAATGGATTAAAATTCAGTCCTCACCTTAGTGCCTGGGTGGGGAGTACACTAAATAAACACCCCCTTCCCCCCCTCAATCACAGAGCTGTTCTAGCAATAAAAGTATATCAATAAGATGTTATTTGGAAATACAGCAAAATAATTTTATTTCTTCAAAGACTAGTAGGTTACAGATACAATGCTTCTTTCTCCAAGGAGGAGTTGGCTTTTCATTACTACAACCAAAATCTGAGAAAAACAGCCTACAGGAGAAAAGATTTATTTTGGCTCATGGTTTCAGATGTGGCAGTCCATGGTCTGCTGGCTCCAAGGCAGAAACAGCTTGGAATAAGGGTGAAAGATGTTCATCTCATGTCAGCCAGGAAGCAGACAGAGGGAAAGAGACAGATAGGGAGGGCCTGCGAACAGATGTGACCCCATTATCCAGGCCCTTCCGTTAGCCCCCACCTCTCATTTCTGTTGCTTCCCTACAATGCCATCAAGTTACGACTCCATCAGTGGATTAATCTGTGGAGTAAGTTAAAGCCCTCATGACCCAATCTCTTCTCAAGGTCATGCCTCTGAATGATGGTGCATCGGGGATGAAGCCCTCAACACATGAGTCTTTGGAGAACATTTCATTTTTAAAACACAGAGAGGGACGGTACCTTGGTCTGGAAAACATTGTATGTATATTGGTGTCCTTTACATACACCATATAAGTGATATGTAGCAATCAGGTCTTAATTATCATACTTTATAACTGTTAGTAACATTCATCTTTAGGTAATAAATAATAAATTGTGGTGATGGTGGTCCCATAGGATTTATACCTGCTGGTGATGTCATAGCCACCTTTGTTTTTGTAAGTATAATTTGTGATGTTCCAATGAAGACAGAACCTTCCTGCAACATATTTCTCAGAATGTGTCCTGCTTGTTAAACTGCACCTGACTATATGCTTTTCACTACATATGACATTTGTTATTTTTAACCATGTTAATGCAACACTTTAAAGAAGCTTTTCTATATTAACTACTTATAATTATTATCTATTACTATGCATCAAATTACCCCAAAACTTATCATCTTAAGAAGCAACATTCATGCTTTCTGAGGGCCAGGTAGCTGGGAGCAACTTGCTAAATAATTTTGATTCCCAGTGCTCTTGTGTAGTTTCAGTCCAAATTTTGACTGGGGTATAGTTGTCTGACAATTTGACTGGGCTGAAAAAACCACTTGCAGGCTTATTCATGTGGCTGCTGGCTTGAGGCTTCTGTTTTTCACCATGTGTGCCCTTTCTCAAGGTGGCTTATGGTGTGGCCATTGGCTTCCTCCAGAATGAATAATACAAGAGAGAACACGATGGAAGCCACAGTTAGAACCTAATCTCAGATGTGACATAAGCCACTTGTACTAGATTCTGTTGGTCACCAGGACCAATTCTGGCACAACATAGGAGGAATATAGAAGGACGAGGATGAGAATCATAAGGCCATGTGGGAGGTTGGAGTTCATTCGGTGGATCCTAATGATTCACATCGCTTCCACACAAAGTGTACATAATCTTTCTTGATTCTCCTAAAGTCTCATTCTATTATTACCTCAGCTCAAAGTCTAGAATATTTTCATCCAAACCAGGTCTGGCTGTAGATGAGGCTTGTCTGATGTGGTTCTGTGTATACAGTTCCTCATGCGCCAGTCTTCACTATCTGTAAAATTGTGGGCTACAAGGACAAGGTGTCTCTACCCTCCTCCCCAAATACAGCGCTCAGCAAGGCCTAGGGGAACTCTTGCAGATATTCCTGCTCAGTAATGGGTGGCACACAGGAATGCAGTGGGAGGCACACGAGGAGCGCAGGAGTTCTGAGGCCCATCTGGATGATCTTGAGAGTCTCTTGATTGGCACCCAGTCATACTTCTGACTAGCAGTTGTTCTGTATCACTCTTGGCTCTGCCTTTTGGACTCTTGGTTCTGTCCACTGCCTTGGCCCTCCTTTCTTCATGAAAGTTAGCATATGTTTATAGCTGAGTCTTATTCTGAACTTGCTTCTTGTCTGTAGAATTTTTGGAGTTCAGTGACTTCTTTTCATTTGATCCTCTTCTCTGTGTCTTTCAGTCAAAGCTGGGAGTATCATTAATTAAAAGGCTTTATGGATCTTCTGTGAATCTGGTTGGAGTTTACTGCACTGGAAAAACAATGCACAAGTCTCTTTGAGAGCTCCCCCCCGCAACTATGAGCTTCTACTGAGGAAGAATGTCCTACTGTTTAATTGCATGAACCTGTGCTCAGACCCTTGAAATCTTGAGTGGACTTTTAACCCAAGGCGCAACATCTTCCTCATACTCTCCCGGGTTTGATTTTTGTTGGAAAGTCCTTCCTAAAGTTTTTAAAAAATAATTTTTCATTTGGAAGAAACAAGAATTATCAGAACCATTGTGTTTAATGGGTTTCTGACATGTTCATTTTATTATCATTCATGTCAGTCTTATGTCTTTTAAGAATCAGGAAGAAGCAAGGTGGCATTCTGACACTCTGTATGGGAATATCCTCGGTTATATCACCCAGCTCATTGGTACAGCTACTTTGCACACAACTGGCATGGCAGTGTCGCTAAACTTGCAGTTACCACAGAAGGACCTGCTTTCTTCTGCTTGCCAATATTTTTTTCCTAATTTCACCATCAGCCATCACTGATTCCTATGAACAGTGAAGTCATTGTTACTTTCACACTTCACTCTTGCTCTTCTCTCTCTTCACTGCTTTTCTAGTTTCCACCAGTGCTCTTTTGAAAGCCATTCCCACATCTTAGTCTCTGTTATGGTATTCTACCTCCAAATACCCAAATCTTTATAGAAATTAATCCAGATGAACATGTTTATTCCAAATCTATTCTCAATTCCAGACTGGGAACTGGAGGCTCAAAGGGCTTGGGACTCAAGTTTGTGCAGCCAGGATGAAGGAGAAGCAGAACCCAAATCTAAGATGACCTGACCTCAAAGTGCCTCTGGTTTTCTTGATACCATGCTGTCTTGGAGGAAAAAAAGGCAAAGAGAATTTATTCATAATTTAGAACTGCCAAAGTCTTGGCAGGAGCACAAAACCACACAATCTGGCTGGTGCCTTTTAAATCGTGTTCCATTACTTTGAGTGCTTGGTATGGAGATCCTAAGTCTTTAGATGCCCTGCATTTTATCAGTGAAGAAAATGAAGTTTCTCAAGATCACACAGCTAAGTAGTATTAGAGTCAAGATTTAAACAAGGTCCAACTGACTCCAAAATATTGAATCTTCCTAGTGTTGAGCATGCATATCATATCTTACTCATTAGCATTTGGTTGGATAGTAAAGATTTTATCTTTACCCAGGAATGACAGAAGGGAATGAATGAGATAGCTACATGACCTTAAATGCTCTCTGCTGGGGCTTCCTCTGGTGTAAAAAAGGGGAAAAAAATCTCACAGGGATACTGTCACAGTGGAATGAGGCAGGTAAACTTTAGTTTGTTGGAAGCTTTCCCCAAAGGTCCTCACATTGTCAGTACTTAGGAAATTTACATTCTAGCTCTAGTGCTGGTGGTTACCTGAATTATTCAGGGTCTGTTTTGTGTCTGTTTCAAAGCAAAGATAGAAATGATCCATTCTGATGTCACTAAAATGTGATGAGGAAAGATAAAATGAGTTACATGAGAAGTGTTGAGTTCCTCAACAGAAAGTTATTCCAGATCCTGGGCTTCTCTGTCCCATCCCAGAGGTATGAAAGAGCCTCATTCTGAGACCATAGCCCCTTTGGCTCTAGCCAGGAGCCCATGCTTCATTAAAACCTATGAGCTATGCCAGTGTGTCCAGGGCTTTATGAGGTAGATGAAATGAGCCTTGGTGAGACCGTGGGTTCCATCCTGGCTTGGGCTGGTGTTTGCCCCCAGACTCACAGAGGAGACGACAGCAGCAGCTCACCCACCTTGCTTTAGACTAGCTGCTCTCAAGGGCCAGGGCCTTGATCTTGCCCCCAAGGCTTGGAATGTGGCTCCAGCCATACCCCAGACCTCTTGAGGCTCCACAGTCGGCCCTCACACTTACACAGGTTTATTCCTGGTGGTAACTGGTCTCACAAAGTAGGAAAGTATGAATTTGGAGACTTGTGGTCATTTTTATGTAACAATGTTTTAATACATAAGATGTTAGAGTCAAGCTTTCTATGCTTTCCAAACGGTGTCTGTAGTTTGATTTTTAATGTGCTTCTGAACAAGGCTGTCTGCCAGCATAGGCCAAATCTGGTTAGAAGGATTCCTGTACCTGGAAAGGGTCCCTTGAGAAAGCACTTCAAGTCATTTAAATCATTTATCCAGTGCTGGCTGGGTTTGCTCTTGGCTCGGACACTGTCAATTTTCCACCAGACCTGCCGCCTAGTAGAGCACATCCTGTCACAGAGGATGAGGGTGCCAAGGAGAGAGCAGGTTGTAGGGATCCTGGCTATAAAGCAGATGTTATTACTGGGCATCGAGTGAGGGTGGGAGGCCGAGTACAGTAGCTTTATTTCAGCCTCCAAGATGGGCCACAGGACTGTGGTCTAGAAGGAAAGCTATGCCCGTGTGGCCAAGCCTGGCATCCTGAGGAGCCCCAGGCGGAGAAACCCTTGTGCCTGGTGTGTCAATTCATTGCTCAGGTCTGGAAGGAGCAGTGTTGATGAAATGTAGCATTTGGGGCACAGTGTTGAAAACTGTTCTAAACTGTTCCAGTTGGGAACTAGGAGCATTTAAATGTGTCATGACCACCCAGATTTCTTTGTGCTGTAATGTTATTAAAGTAATAAACCTGATGAAATAAAAAGGAAGGACAAGAGAAAATGAGAATTGCAGCAGAGTAGAAACCAGCTTGCTAGAGCTAGTGACAAAAAGCTCATTTGGAATTTAGGTTAGGATGTATGCCACAGTTTTATATATGGAACTCTAGGATGTCTTCCTGGCAACTGATTCATTACTCTGAAAGAGAATCTGGGCCAGTTCAGCATCCTTACTCCTTCCATGCTTCTTGGAGCCTAAGATAGACTCTTGGAATTCTGGGAAGGAATTGGACAGCCCACTGGGTAACTGAACAGTTGCCTAGTTGTTTATGTTTGAATTCCTAGTTTCCCCCTTCCTAGACATAAGGATATTTCTTTGACTCTGAATTTGACTTGCTTTGGGTAAGATGACCCCACATCATCTGGGGGTGCTGAAGTACTCTGGGTCAAAGGTTTTCCTGATACTTCTCCTTACTATGGTCCCACCCCCTTATTGCTGTATTCCTCCCCCCCAATTAAGTAAAATACTCTGATAATTATTTTTAGAATCAACATCACACGACAAAATATTCTAAGACAAAACTTATCTCACTGAGTTGTGTTAGAGCATTTTAAACTCAAATTCTGTGACTATATGTATATAGTCAATGAAGAACATGATTTCCAAGAGATTTATGCATAGCACTCATAAAATACATCATAGTTGGAGATGTTGCCCAGGGATTTATCTGTTATGCAAAGTTATTGTTTGAAAAATTATATAAATATAATTTTTGCTCCCTTTCTTGACTTTATAGAAATTAAGACTAGTTCTGTGGCTTCTTTCTTTTTTGGTCCTGTATATTGAACCTAGGGCCTCATACATACAAAACTCTGTGTTACCACTGAGCTCCAGTCCCCTGAGGCTTCTTTAATCATTGAGGCCAATGAACACAAGTGCTGTCTGGGGTCACTAGGTAGGCTGCCCTGCGTATTTAATCTGGAGGGAATGGAGAAGAAATACTTCTCACTTTCCACACCTCCTCAAGGGAATCCCCACTGCTGCTGCATGCCAAGCCTAAATGTATAAAACAGAAAGCATTAAGGTAGGCAGGAAGCTGGAGCACATCCATGGGAAAGAGCTGTAACCTCTCAGACTTCAAGCATGTAGTGCCAGATGCAGAACTCACTGTTGTGCGTGGCTCTTCATTCTGTAGTCCTTTCCAGTCCTGATCAGCAAAGTCAGGTTCAGCGTTCCATGACAGCTTCTCTTTCTGTAGTGATTTGTGAAGTGACTTCATTCACTTCAGGGTTGTGTTGACTGAAGTTAGCAGTGAGAGGTTGACCTTTCCAAATGTAAATGGAGTGGAGAGTAGCCTACTAGAAATAGGGTTGATGTATGATGTAGTGAAAAGCATTGAAGAAAGAAGAAAGAGAGATGGCAGGCTCAGGTAAAGGCTTAAAGCTGGAAGAGAGGGCCTTTGGTCCCCTCACTGCACCTTCTGCTTCATTTCTCTTACATGGAGAACAGTTCTGTGTGCCTGCCCCATGTTCTCATGCCACTTCATCTGAAGTCCACACGGAGATGACAAGGACTGAATACGCATGCCTCCTCAGCGGGGTCATGGGAGTAACGGACAGTGCCTAACTCCAAAAGTAAATGTCTAATGATGGACTTTGATTCTTGTGACACTTGATTAACAGAGGTAGTTTAAACAGCAGACTTTTATAGTGACCTTTAAAATCTACTAGGCACTTGGCTCCAATTATTCATATCCTGGCTTTTCAAAGAGCCTTGCATAAATTTTCAGTGTGTCATAAAGGTAGACAATAGGTGGACACCTTTCTGAATATACATGCCTTAGTTACTTTTCTTGTTGCAGAGACAAAATACTCCCACACCCACAAGTTAAGGGAAGAAAGGTTTGGCTTACAGTTTGTAGATGTTTCAGTCCATAATTGGCTGGCTCTAAGGCAGACTGGCACATGGCAGAGGGGCATCAGTTCATGGCAGACTGAAGGTAGTAAAGCAACAAGGGACCTTAACAGTGTCTTTCTGACCCTTTTATTTTATCCAGAATACTTAGAGCAGGTAGCACTCACACCCTTAATCCTAGTGCCCTTGAGTTTAACATTTCACCATGAATCAATCACACACTCTAGATTCAGCCACCTCTGAAAAAGCACCACCTATAACTGCATGAGGCTTTAAGGGACCATCTAGACAGAAGCAACAACAATACAGCAGATAGGAAAGTGAGGAACAGAGAATTTAGAGATACAGAAAGACTAGGAACCATCACTGATTAATAAAACTAATCCTTCTGCTCTGTAGCTTCAAGTTCTACTTAAAAGTTTCCAGGAAGCTGATCTTGGATTCTCTTGGTGATGGAGAACCATTTAGAGACAAGTGCCCAAACTGCAACCTAAAACCCACTTATGTATTGCAAAGGGCCAACACTACAATTAAATCTGAATACTGAGGTTTTATTTTAGAAAAAACAACTCCTACATTAACATCTTCTATTTTAAAAGAAAAACAAGTAACATGTGTGCCACACGTTTGCCACCACTGTCTTAGATGAATGCTTTTAATAATATGCTAGGGAATCAATATGAAGTAATAATTGGCAGAACCACCTTTCTACGTTCCCTCTATAGTTACAAGAATTTTTTTTTAACATCATGAAATACAGCTGATTTTATGACGTGAATTTTCAAGGAGCATATTTTATATGGATTTTGAAGAATCTTGTTTGCTGATAAGAACTTCAAGAAGCCTAAGCTTAGCTTTAATTTTCTTTTACTCTTTGTATTCCTCAAGCACTGGAACATGATCCTCTTTCTAAGCATTCCTTCCATTTTGTTGATAAAATGCTTCTTCAAATTCCCACAATGTTTTATGTAGTTTCTTTTTTTCAGCTCTAGCTTTCCAAAGTTGTTCCAGTAATTCAGGCATAGAAGCTGCTTGAGTACTTAACAATCGGAGATCCAGAGCCAGTTTTTTATTTTTTTCAATATCAGATTCTGAGTTTTCCAATGAAGACTGTGCCTGTATAGCTGTTTTCAAGATATCGTTTAATTTGGAGGACAGACTAATACCATCTTCTTCTTCATCCTTGATTTCTTTTAAAAAAATGTGCGGTTTCTTCTTCTATGATTGGCTGTAACATCTGACCTCTTCTTTTGGTGGAGGAAGATCCTGTTAACCAATAATACATTTCACATTAAAGTATTACTCAAGCTTCACTTGTTATTGTTATAGGAAAAATATGGAACACTTCACGAATTTGTGTGTCATCCTTGTGCAGGGGCCATACTAATCTTCTCTGTATTGTTCCAATTTTAGTATATGTGCTGCTGAAGTGAGCATGTTACAAGAATTTTTAATTTCTGTTTTGCCTAAATAATTATGTTCAGGCAATAATGTACTTTTCTTTCTTTTTCTATCCATATATTTATTCTAAGAATTTCAGATTATGTTGGATATGGTATCTGATACAGACTGAGATATATAAATTAGCTTTTGAAAGTTATTGTTTTAGGGATAAAGGTGGATTATTCAAACATGTGTTTATAAATTGAAAATTAGCATACAGAATTCTGAATTTTCTATTAGGTATTATATTGTGTGTTTCCAATATTACAGTATTTTTCTATATTATATGTATTTTTCTATATTATATGTATATTTCAATTATGTCTGAAGATTGAGAAAAATGAGTCATTCTTTCAATTGAAATGAAAAGACAATCTGATGTCTGCATATGTCTGTTTTTGCTATGTAGTCCAAGCTAGACTTAAACTTGTTATGTGGCCCAGGCAGGCCTCAAACTCACAATCTTCCTGCTTCAACCTCCTGAGTTCTGAGTTTACAGGTGTGCACCATCATGCCTGGCAAGTTTTTGGAATATTACTTGTTAGTACTTTATTTTAGGATGATAATGTGATTTATTTGTTTGTTTGTTTGTTTTTTGGTACTGGGGATCGAACTCAGGACCTTGCACTTGCAAGGCATGTGCGGTGCTACTGAGCTAAATCCCTGGTCCAGATGATAATGTGACTTTACATTTACATTTGTATACATTTTACCAGAGATGATTTTAGTTTATAAATATTATATTTGAATGCATTACACTTTTAGTTTTAATAGCATTTTTATGAAGTAATTTAAAATCTTAATGTTAAGTGAAATAGGTACAAATATATTGTCAATAAATGACAATGACATTACCATTTTGTCCCTGTAATATAATCAATACAGGCTTTTATTTATCAGGGAATATGCTCATTTTAACTTTTCAAGAGATTTTGAATTCCACAATTATTTCATACAGAACCCATTATCCAAATATTTTATTTTTGGTTTTTTTGGCATCAGGAATCAAACTCGGGACCTTGCACTTTCAAGGTAGGCATTGGAACCACTGAGCTAAATCCCTGGCCCTATCCAAATATTTTAAATTCTAAGTTAAAAAGGTGTCTATCAGGACAAAATACTCCAAGAGCTTTACTCATTATAATATCATAGATATGGACTCTGAGAATTCTGGGATACAGTTATGATTCTACAATTTACAGTTGCCCTGTACAGTTGACCCTTTATAAAAATATATTAATGTCTCATGATGTTATTAATCTTCCAATTTATTCTGATGGATCAGAAGGTTAATTTAGATTTTTATCTAAGTACTATCAATATGTAATTTTAAAAGTTCAAAAATATGAAAAGCTCATTATAAAAAACAATAGTTGCTTGTTTTCCATCTCTACCCCCATCTCAAACCCCAGAAGCAATGATTTTGAACTCTTAGATATGGATCTTTTGGCATTCACCCTGTATTTCAATCTTTTGATTGTAGTTTTATACATGATACATCCTGTCCTTGATTTCTGCTCAAACATGACATTCAGTCTTTCCATTGTTATGACTATGTATATATTATTCCACTAAGCCAAGCAGCACAAACTATGATTACTTTTCCTGTCGTACAACATTTTCTTTCCTCCTGAGTGCTGGGATTATTGACATGTGCCTCCACATCTAGCTCATCTCTAACATTTTGAATTTGATTTTAATTTTTATAAAAAATACAGAGTATTGTTTCTATTTCCTATATTTATTGATTTGAGATGATTTTTAAGAAGATAGTGGAAATATCTTTGTTCTTCCAACTTGTAATTGGTTGCCCTTTACACACTTTTAAAGAAGGCTATGTTTTTGTGATGGTATGAGTGGGCTCCTTCTCCTTCTCCTTCTCCTTCCTCCTCCTCCTCCTCTTCTTCTCCTTCTTCTCCTTCTCCTTCTTCTTCCCCCTCTCCCCCTCTCTCTGTCTCTCTCTCTCTCCCCCATAGATCTATATATCTATCTTATAAAATTCTCTATATATCCTATAAACATCTCTCTCCATAAAATCTCCTATATATCTTACTAACATCTTTAGTAGCAACAAGAGAAATGGTAATTCAGGTAACCTCACAAAATCCAAGGACAAGCTGAACATCCAGGTTTCAGTAAGGGCAAAAATCAGGGAAGTTCCGATGATTTAAAGAGCAAACTACTGAGCAGCTTTTGGCTTGTTCTTTTTGAAAAGATTACACCCTAATCCTTCCTGCTCTTTTGTCACTTCAATGAAGAGCTAAATTCCAAGAAAAGAGACTCTGATTGTCCAAACTGGGATCACTTGTGCTTTGCTTGCGCATTCTTAGCCAAAAGAAAGAGGAAGGAATGTTGGAAGGTAAAACAAAGCAAACAAATAAATAGATGTCTATCCAGGCGATAATTTTATAGGGTTGGAGAGGTTAATGGAAGCTGGCTTTGCCTTTCTGAGATCTTTCAGGTAAAATTCTTGGGAGATGCCAGTGCTACTGGCAAGTCACTTTTATTACAATGTGCCTGGCTGGTACAGGCTGTAAACATTAGAAGTGAGAGTATTTGCCACTAAAAACTCACCTGAATTCTTTAGTTAGGACTCTCTTGAAATGGTTTCCATAGGATATTTTGGTCTAGGATTCTTCAGAGTGGAATTAGCAAGTCTTTTAAGGAAGAGAGTAATTTTTTTCCCTACTGAAGTTTGAACAGTTTCTTCCTAGGAAGAACTCCTAAGATAATTATGCCACTTTTAATGGAGAAAAAGTTTAATTCCTTACAAGTTCCTGTGAGGACTCAGGGTTATACATACCAAATTTGTGGGGAGACACAGTGATTTATGACCCATAGCTTCAGGAGTGAGCTCTTAAGCATTTGAGAGAGAGAAGAACAATCAAAGTGTGTTTCCCTATTCTCTTTGGAAATCAAATGATAATCATCCTAGCCAAGCACCCATCTAAAATAACATCCATATTTCAGTCTTGAGAGGCAAACCAGTCACAAAAATTTGTATATTATCAGTGCAATTAAACCAAGACTCTGGCACGGCTCAGAGTGATTTCCCAGAAACCTTAGGCCCCAGAGAAGACTTATGTCAAACAGATAAAATAGTTTTTGACTTTTCAGGAAAAGGAAAATTGTAGTAATATTTGTAAGGAGGAATCAGTACAAATCCAATGTTTTCCTAAAGTCATCAGTTTCAAATGTCACCATGAGAGTACTTTTGAATAAATAATGTGCAGTTAGTGTTAAATTTTGATGTTTGGAAAATATATTAGCAAAATTAACCCTCAGAAACATTGCTGTA